GGGAAAGCGGGGCCCGCCCGGGCCCGCCTCGCCCCTCGGGGCCCCGGCACCCCGCACGGACCCGCCGGCGAGGAACGGGGAAAGGCCCCGCTGTCCGCCGGGGGCGAGGGGCTCCCCCCCCACCGCCACGGGCCACCACGGCCACGGGAGGCAACGGGGGGCGAAGGCCCGGTGAGGTCAACCTGCCTGCCCTTGCCGAGGCCCGCGCAGGGAGGGCCGGGGGAAGGCCCGGGGTGCCGAGGCACGAAGCCTTCCTCCGAAGCCGGGTGAGCCAAGGCTGGGGACGCCTCGGCGGGAGGCGGCTCAGAGGAGACGAGCTTCCACCTTGGCGGTGCCATCGTCCCCCTCCGAAGCTCACCTCCCTCTCCCCCGAGCCCCACAGGGAGCTGCTGGGCCGCATTTGCACCGCCGGGCCGCTGGCTGTCCGGCTGTGGCCTCCATCCATGGGACCAAATCCCCGGGCACATCAGCGTTATCCCCGTCAAGGCACCGAGGTGCAAGGGCCACAGTGCAGCTGGCAACTGGCATCCCAGGCTGATAGATGCCACAATACACCACCATGGGTAGGTACAGCGTATTTTCAGCAGGCAAAAAAAAGGGTAATACACATACACAGGTATTGTCTAATTCCATTTCTATTTTAGACTTCCTTTTGATTATTTCATTTTGTAAATAAAAAAAAAGTTAGACACCTTGTTTCATATGCATTTTTTTTCCCTTGGATTTTTTTCAACAGCAGTCAAAAGTGCCCCCGCCAAGATCCGTACTGCTGTAGCACGTCACATGTCACAGCACAGTATTTGATGTCTCTTTCAAATGCTTCAAATCGTGGAGGTTATAGTTTCTGCTGACATTGGCAGTTGATGTTAGAAATTCTCCAAGGCTGCCAGTTATTCCAGCAGGGTGCTAAAGTGCTAGGAAAGCACTTCCAAAATGTTGCTGTTAAAGGTTATAAAAAGGTACTGGAAAAATCGGCACACTTCTGCCCCGGCCAGACTTTTGTCTTGCCTTACAACCTCCACCCTTGCTAAGACTTAGCCCTTGTCTAAGCCCTCCCCTCACTACAAAAACCATCTAATTGGTTTGAGGCTTATCAGAGATTGTCTAAGACTTATCGCAAGGCTTTTCTGACTGCGGTACGTTCGAAATCGGCATCAGTCTTCACATAGAAGTGTCCAAGTGTCAGGAAAAGAGCTGACAGTCAAGTATTGGATTAGATAATAATGAGCATGGGAATAATGAGCTATCAGCAACTGTCTTGAAAGGCCAGAATCCCACTGCAGTTCTCTCCCTCAGTCCCTGAGCTGGACCGAGGGCTCGTGAGCCTGTCGCCACCAGTCTGGATGCATCCCCTAAAGCAAAAGCTTCCCGTCTGTGGCCTGAGGAACGCGCAAACCCATCAGACGATGCAAAGGCTCTACTAGGTATGGCTGGGCACAGAGCCTGCAGAACCGATCTAGCCAGAACAAAGGGTTAAGAGGAACATTGCCTTCTGTGGCAGGATGCTGTCCATGTCTCTAACCGAAACTACATGCTGTGGACTCAATGCCCATGCAGGGAAAAGGCACAAAGGACCAGCAATGCCTCATTTTTCCTGGGTTTGATCTCTGCCCTGAGGATTCATCCCACATGGATTCACAGCCCCACAATGGCACCGAGTTGGCGAGCTGTGACAGCCTTGCTCTGAGGACACACAACAGTGGGACTGCCGGGGGATCAGAACGTGATCCTCAACTTCTGCTGACACAACAGGAACCTTTTAATATGAAGAGCTGCAAGCTGAGCTGGTGGAAGCCGATGTCTAACCAGCCACGGCTGCCTGGGAGCAAGGCAAACGGCAGGCAGAGGGATGGAAATGGCTTGAGCCTGCCTCAGGCACAGGGCAGGTTAGTGTGTGCTGTATAGAACAGTGCAAAGGCTGGGACAGCTTCACACTGCTGTAAGATGGCGACAGGAGCACCTCTATCTGGGGACTCCATGCAGGACGGCTGTAATTCGGGTCACTCCAGGGACTGACAATCCCCCCCAACACAGATCTGCCTGCTTTCCCCACTCCACCAACTGAGCACCAACAAATTTGTTGCAGGCATGGCTGTAACTGGAAGCAGTGGTTGCGCTGGAAAACGCAGCTCTTTGGTATGAGGCTCCTTTAAGGGAGTTGCAGGAAGGAATTAAAAAAAAAAAAAAAAAAAAAAAAGAGAAGTGGAGTGGTTACCAAAGCTGCTAACCACAGTGCCAGGGAGCCTCGGAGGGCACCAGGACAGCCCAGCGTCACATGCCTAACGCATCCTGTCTCCAGACTTCCTCCCCTGCGATGTATGTGGCTTGCACATACAGACTGTCATTCAGCATCAGGAAATCTGCATCAGACAAGAGAGAAAGAAGGCAGCTGTCAGATATGGAGCAGCTGAAGCTGTCTGGGAAGAGCTGGGCTCAGTGCGGAAGAACTTCCCCCCACGCCAGAAACAGCAGGAGGGCAGTGCGGTGCCATCCTTGCTATGGCAGCTCTGCTTCATGCTTGGCTGAAATGTGGGGGTCTCTCCAAAGGGCTCAGGAAACACCACCAGCATCCAAGGGAAAAACCACTGGCGCAAAAGCCCAGAGCAAATCCCAGGCAGAGCAAGTCTCCCTGCAGCTCCCACTGAAGCAGGGGATGAAGATGCATTCACAGCAGCCCATGCTTTGCTCCAGCAGCCGGGAGCCCTCACACCATTGTCCCCATACCAGTACCTGCATCAGAGTCGTAATTTAGTGTCCCTTTTTTGTGTTCAATCCCCAGGAGCTGGGCGGGATGCAGAGATGCTGCCTCCAACGCGGTCTCTACCGAGCACCCTTGGACAGAGAAGAAGGGAGACATTAGGGCAGCAAACAGTCCTGTTGCCAGAGCAGCCCAACCCCCCCTGGCTAAGGCAACTGTTAGCCTGGCAGAGACCCGAGCTGGAACACTCTCACCACAGCCAGATGGAGATGGGGAGGGGAAACATCCCTATGGGAGACAGTGGGAAGAGGAGAACTGAACATCTAGGGTATGGGGAGGGGAAAATCATTCACCTTTGTGAGGAAGGAGCAGGAGAGTTCAACTCTCATTAGTGCTGTGGGTTAAAATGAAACCTCCCCTCAAAAAGGTGCTCATCTGAGGCCAGTGCCACTGATGCCAGCGCTTCTCATCATGTCTCAGGCGAGAGGGAACGGTCCCTGGTGGAGTGGACACAGCTGGCAAGAGCGAGACCTCTTCCCGTGTCAACATAGGGAGCAACAGCTTGTGGACAAGGCTTACTTACCTGTGGCTTCTTGGAAGTGTCGCACACACGTGTCCATGGTCGCCACACTACCGCTCAGGGTCTTTGTGCCTGGGAGAGGAACAGGATGGCACTGAGCCAGTCCCACAAGTCAGCAAGGAGAAGTGGGGTGGTGGGAAAGCATAACATGACCAGAAGGGGCAGAAATCCTGGGTTGCACAAGGAGAAAGTTGAAGGGCCCGAAGCCATTGCTGCCGAGTGACAGAATGCTGGCAGTGCAGGGAGAGGTACTGGGTGTCACCCCACAGCTCCACCGTAAGACCAGCTGGACTGGGTGAAACTAGCTCACAACGCAGGCACCTGCTGCCAGAGACAGAGGAAGGGAACAGAGAAAGGAATGATCCTTCTCTGAAATACCTTCCCAGTCTCCAGCTGCCTGCAACTTAGGGAAATTAGTTAGCAAGAAGTGGTAGTGTTACAGTAAAGACAAGGGACAATAAATATCTGTAGATTTCTCTGTCCTTTCTGGCCCCGCTGGAACCTCTGGCATTCATGACACTGGGCAACAAGGTGTTCAAAGGTGTTGCAGACAGCTACAAATTGACAGATACCTCCTCACTCCATGAAGATGGGGCACTTCCCCTCTTTACGAGGTGCCCCATTCTCCCCATGGCCAAGTCACTGCAGATTCATCAGGCACCAAAACCCAAGCGGGTGGCACAAGTGCTGCCTCACACTGATAAGCACTGCAAGGTGTGCTGAGCTCTTCAGGAACAGGCACGAGTGGCAGCACTGTCCCCAGCAATTCAGCCAGAGACAGTTACCTGCAATGTAGGTGTTCAGCCCATCGATCTCCACCACCTGCTGACCCAGCGTGTGCCGACCTGGTGCCAGCCCCATGCCAGCAATTGCATCTGTCACCAGCACCAGGCCTGAGGAATGTAAGGAAAGAGGCTGCGTTAGCTTTGCAGCTGACCTTGCTGCAGCTCCAAGCACTGCGCCACAGTGGCCCTCCCAGAGGGGAGCCAGGGTGTCTCTAGCTGCATTCAACCAAGGCAAGAGGGCTAGTGGATCAGCACACATAGCTATGACCTCTTTCAGACAGTGAGGGCAGTACGCCACAACACTTGCACAAGTGTTTTGTGCGAGATGGCACAGCGCTTGGGATGGCTGGTGACACTGCATGGGCCTGGCATGGCTCACCTTTGGGGTGGGCTCGGTGGGCGATTCGCAGGGCAGCAGGGTTGGTGTGGATGCCGTCAGAGATCATGCCGTAAAAGACCCTCCGCCCAGCAGGAATCTTGTCACTTGTCAGCAGCCCCACGATCCCAGGGTCACGGTGGTGGAACTGCCCAAGGGGAGAGAGAACAAGCTGTGGATCATCACTAGGATTTGTGGACTGAGACCCTTCCCGTCAGGGGATGCAGCTGCCATCTCTATCAAACAGTGCCTGGAAGCTGGGTGCTCCGTGCTTTACCAGACAAGTCTGAGCATTTCCTTGAATTTCAAGTCTGCTACAGCCTTGACTCTCTTTTAGATCAGGCAGGAGAAACGTGAAGCCAGAGGTTCAGTGCTGAAACCTCATTGCAAGGCCTGTTATGAAACCAGCTGGGGAGAATATGCATCTGTGGAGAGCAGGAGACAAAGCACCAAAAGCAATACCAGTGCAGAGCAAGTGCCCTCGGCTACTCACCGGCAACATGGCATTGAATAGGTGAGTGATGAAGGTAGCACCGTGCTGCACAGCCTCCTCAGCCTGGGAGAGATTAGCCACCGAGTGACCTGGGAACAAAGACAAATGCATGATTTTTCTGCCCACCCCTCCATTTATTTCCCTACAGGAGTGAAGACGCTCTGTCACTATGACTCTACGCTGATGCCCCACCCTGGGCCAAGGTCTGAGATGCCAGCCTTGGCACAGAGGTGTCTGGTCATGACTGTGAGGGACTCTGGCAGTGCATGTTTCACCTGAACACGTTCACTATTCACATCACAACCGTCACAAATGCTGCCTTGCTCACAGAGAGTTGCCTTCAGGCTAGGCTGGAGGTCCAAATACATGCCTTTCTGCTTTCCTCAGATATTTAAAGGCTTAATAGAGAGGTGTCAAGGGAGTAGAGACAGTGGGGACTTTGCCAAGAAAGAATATGGGGATAAAACTACCCAGAAGGAAAATTCTGTTTCCCCCAACATGCACAGCAGCTCTAATGCTGTGTGGGCAAACTTTGCTTTTCTGTGGTTCTTTGCTTTACATGGCTGTGAGATAAAAGATGCTCTGCTGTATGAATGCCCTTCTCATTTAAGGTTTAATTTCACCCTGAGTAACTCCCCCCTGCCTCTTTTTTTTTAACAAAAAAAAAAAAAAAAGGATTTCTTTAATGGTCTGAGGCAAAGAAGAATTTGTGAAACAGAGGACAAGAAAAATGCAGCCAGTTTTAAGTCAGTGGCCTGCAAGGCAGTGGAGGGAGGTCTCCTACAGCTCTTCTGGTTGAAACAGAGTTCTCAAAACTCAAGAGTAACCTTTGGAAAATTATTTCACCTGTCAAACAAGGCCTAAAGCAGTTGAACTTCAGAGTTTGAACTTTCCACGTCATCAACCTTCAGTTACATCTTTATTCAAGTAACACCGCTATTCTTTCCTGCGTATTTACAGCACCAGATGCTGCCTTGTGTTAAACTGCAGGGGCTTTTCAATCAATATGAAGTTTGGCCCTTACCATACAAAGGATGACAGATTCGCAGCATCAAGTGAGGTCCCCATTTGTGACAGGTCTGTCACCTCCATATAGGCCCGGCAAAAGAAAATCCCACCCCATCCAGTCACACTGAGACACCATTGGAGATGCTACAGCCCCAAGAGAGGGGCTGCCTGGCCCGCGTGGCAGAGGGAAACGGAGTTTCCCTAAGCCTCCTCCGCCCCAGCCCTTACCGAGTGAGACACAGATGCCCCGCTTGGTGAGTTCCTGGATCACCTCACTGCTCCTCTTCATCTCTGGGGCCAGGGTGACTATCCGGACACAGTCCAGGGACCCGTAGGTGGCAAGAAGGTCCTGGAAAGCACCTGCCTCGAAGGTGCGGAGGCAGTGCTCTGGGTGCGCCCCTTTCTTCTCCTTGCTGATGAACGGTCCTTCCAGATGGGCCCCTGCCCAAATAAGAACACAAAGCCATGACCCTTCCTCTCCCCGCCAAGGACCAAAAAACCTGCTGTGCCCACCCTGCTCCAGTCAAGCTCTTGCCATTCTCCTGCAGCAAAACACATGGCTCTGGTAACTCTGAGCACAGCACAGCGGAAGATGCAGTGCTGGCAACTGGCCAAGCCAAGCCACCCCACTGCCGTTACCCTGTGGGGCCCAAAAGGGCTGGAGCGGTGCATGTATGATGGCAGAAACCATGGCAAAGGCCAAGCACAGGTTGAGGGAGAAAGCGGGTCTGTGCCCACCTGTGCATCCCTCCCATCAAGAGAGCTCCAGCCCCCATTTGTGCTGTCCCTACAGTAGCTTCCTTCTCCTTAACAATGAAAAAGATAATTGCCTACCTAGAGTAGCACCAGAGAGGACAGTGAGGGACAAAACCACTTACCCAGGATACCTGCTCCGTGGACTCCACCATTTCTTATACTGATCTGAGGGAGAACCTAGAGAAAGGGGTTTGTCAGACATGGCACCCCAGATGGCACCCCAGCGTGCCAAAATAAACCCAAACCTTGGGTCCGGAGAGAGCTTTGTAGCTGGACCACTTGGTAACATCAGCCAAACACAGCCCACAAAGAAAAAGTCAGCTGCAAGCCTGATTGTGCAAAGCTGGTCTGGGAAACATCGCTGTCTCAGTGGTCTAAAGGTTAAGGGCAAGAAATCCAGGGGTAGAGTCCAGCTCCTCATGCCCATGGCTTTTCCGCCAAGGCAGCTATCCCAGTCTCTGTAGGCCCAGCCTTGGCCCTCTCACCTCTTGGTACCAACCTCTCAGCCCTTTATCACCTGGAGGATGAGAGGGGAAGAAAGGCACTTACCTGGTGGTATACAGATGGAGGAGAGGTCACCAGGGTGGGACAGAAGGAGGTCACTCCATGGGACAGGATTTTCTGACTGACCAGGTCAATCCCTGATTTGAAGTCATCTGTAGCCAGGGAAAAGTCCACCCCAAAGCCTCCTGCACCATGAGCAAAGCAGAGATGAAATTGCAGCTTCCCCAGTGGACGTTTTTCCACCCGAAAATGCCAAAGAAACATTTTGCGTGATCAGAGTGAGCCCTTCCATTTGTATGGCACTGACCAGAAGCAAAGGGCTCTTCCAGCACTGCTCCTGTCCTACATTCACAAGGCTCTGCGAGTACAAATCCAGCCAATGCTGTCCTCCTGAAGTGCTTTTCCCCACAGCATCCCAGCATTTTGCAAGCAACAACGTTCTGTTTTGTGCAGGGCAAAACCTGAGGATTCCCCACTGAAGAGGGGATCTGACTTCCAACATAAGCTACCTTAGAACAAGCCCCTCTCGACCCTCAGGAAAGAGCTATAGCAGGTAATGTTTGTTCCCATGAGAAGTCCTGCTCTGTCCTCCCGGCATCATGGAACATCCCTGTGCAGGGGCAGGATAAAATGTTGATAAAAATGAGGTTAAGAGGAAAGCTGGGCTGAAAACCCCACCGAGCCAAAGGGGATCAGTTATGTGACAGCAGCAACCACTGGCAAAATTGTTCTTTATCGTTAGTTCGGTGACTCACATCTCCCTTGAGCAGCTGAAATGCATTTGGTCATGGGCAGTATGCACACAGCAGGGTTTGAAGGTCTGGGATGGACAAACCTGGGACTCCCCGCTCCCCTGCGAGCGCACATGGCTTCACCGTACCATTGATCTGGACGTCGATGAAGCCCGGGGTGATGATGCTGTCCTTGCAGTCCAGCTGGATGTCAGCAGAGCCCTTCTCATCAAAGAAGAGTTTCTCCGGGTTGAGGATCTTCCCGTCTCGCACCCACAGGTCCTCCCTGAAGGGACAGTTACACACTCACCAAGCTCCAGTGCCATCTGCGGTGGAGCACATGGGAGCGTGGCCGTGGCCCCAGTGATAGAGGTGGCCTCGGGCAGAACAGACCCCACCAGCACCCTCCAGCCATGGGCTCTCCAATGTCTACTAGGGCAAAGCTGCTCTTCCAGCAGCGACCCCTCTCTGCCTGGCCTCTGGCCTTACAAAATTCACGGGAACGGGGTTTTCACGGGCTGCCCGTCAGAGGAGGCAAACGAAAGACGAGGGGAGCAGAGAGGGGCTGTAGTACTTCACACACGCCTCGTCTCCTTCAGGGAGGGACGAGGGGACGGTGGGAGCGCAGGGGGCGAGAGCCAACAGCTGATGCACTGGGGGACCTGGGGACAGTCGCTCCAGGTTCCAGGTCAGCTCTGCAGCCCGGCCGTGAGCCCCGGCACCCCCCGGCACCCCCGGCAGCCCTCACCTCTGGAGCTGGTGGCTCCTCAGGATGCGGCAGTTGGTGAACTGGACGATGGGCGCGTCCGAGACGGATTTGTTGGACGGCATGGTGGGGCCGCGGGAGCCGGCGGGAACGGGGCACCCAGCCGGTGACCGGCGTCAGGGGCACGGGGCAGGGACCAGGGGTGGCGGAGCGGGGCAAGGCCGCGGCTCCGGTGCGAGCGGCTGCCGCGGGAACGGGGAGCCGGTGAGGGGCGGAGGGGCCGGAGCACCGCCCCGGGGGCAGGCGGCGGGTAGGCCGCCGCCCCTCCCCGGGGCTCCGGGCCGACGCTATGAGGAAAAGGCCCCGCCGCGGGACCCGTTCAGGGCCGGACCCGGTGCGGCCCCCCCCGCCCTCCGCGGAGCAGCGGCGGGGACCGGGACGCCCGGGGGCGGGACCGGGGGCGGGGCGCGGAGCGGAGCGAAGCGAACGCCGGCCTTACCCCGCAGCGCCGCTCGTTCCCAGTCACGTGAGCCCGCTCAGCTGACGCGCCGGGATTCCCCACCCGCCCCGCCGCACGTGACCGTCCCGCAAAGAGCCGCCATCATGGGAAGGGCACCGCCATCTTGAGGAGGTCGGCGGCTCCGCAGAGGCTGCCGGGCTGAGGGGAGGGGGCCGGCTCCGCGGCCACGCCCTTGCTTTGAAAGCCGGTGGCGAAGGAGAACCGGCGGTGGCGGAGCTCACGGCCACCGCTGTCCTTGGCCCTGGCTCCCCCTTCGGGCCTGGGGGTCTCCTGCCGGCCCACGCAGGCCGCTGGGCCTGTGGTCTGGCATTGTCGCCGGCACGGTGTCGGAGGTGGCTGTGGGGACGACACCGCAGAGAGATGCCTGCTCTTGCCCGGGAAGCCAGGGAGGGTGGCAGGTCCCCCCCGCGCCCTGCAGGCCTGGGGTCTCGCTCAGCCCCTGGCCTGCTGCCCTCCCTCCTTTCAGGGAGTGTCTCAGGGGATTTACTCTCTGTATCTGGTTTAAGAGCATTAATAGACACTAAGCATTAATAGAAATGAATAATGTTCCCTATTGGAGCCTCTAAAGGGGCTGGCAGCAATATGCGCTGGTGTTCCGCTGCGGCGTGTTAATGCGGAGCTCATGAAATGCTCTTGAAAAGGTCTGGTACCAGTGGGGAGTGACGCATATCCTAAGGGAACACATCTTACCCAGGGAAACTCCAGACCTAGCGAGCTCAGGAAAGCTGGAGAGGGGTGGGGAAGAGCTGCTGCGCTGACCATGCAGGTGTCAACATCTGCTCGTCACAACCACCTTCTTCTTGCCAGTCTGCACACACCTCCTGCTGCCTCTTGCCTTATGCTCTGATGAGAAATGTTTGGGGCAGAATCTTTTTCCACTGTGTCCACTGACTCCAAACTGGAGCTCCTCAGTGCAGGTGGTCTAGAGCATCATCACTCAAGAACCATTACTCAGCCCCAGGACAGACTAGAGTAAGCTCAAGCCACCTTTGCCTTCACAAGTTCACTATTACCCAGCATCTTCCAGCCAAGGATTCTGCAGTCCTTAGTGAGCCATGATGCAGCTCTTGTACAGGCACTGTCACCGCTAGCTGGGCAGCCATGTCACATGCCAACAGGTGAATGCCTTTGTGGAAGAAAATGTTAACTGCAGAGTATTACTTTTTATCAGACAAACCTGAAACGCCTGAGAGGTCAGGGAAGATGAATTAGTCGTTCCTAATGTTGTGTGAAACTTAATGTCTCAAACACTGTGGTGGGGCAAGTTCTGTCCAGCCCAGGTCGTGACACTTTAAAGTCTGTGAATTTGTGAGTAAGTAAGCTTGGCTTGAACAGCCACAGTGGACTTGTTCCTCTTTGGGCAATGATTCTGCCTGGATGAACCGCTCTGCTCACTTTGTGGCACACTGCACGTGCACGGGACAGCACGCACGCGGTACCGTGAGGGGCCAGCGGGCTACATCCACTGTGCAAGGAAGCAACTCTGCAGGCCTTACTTCACCTGACTCATCATTATTTACTTCTTGAATGGCAACCCCAGGCAGACCGAGGTGCGCTGGATGGACGTGTCACAGAGGACCAGCTGATCCTTGCCTCTAAGAGCTGGTAGACAAGTGTTGCAAAGAGTGTACCTGCTTGGAAATCTGGCGGGGCACAATAATAATTACACTAACAAAATTAAGTTTGAACTGTTTATTGGCTCAGGCAAAGTAAGATTTCTGGAACTCACCCTTCACTGTTCTTTTCTCAGTCCCAGCTACAGGGAAAAAGAGTTAACTGCAACCTGGACAGGTAAGTCATTACTTCTTTTAAACTTTACTTTCTAAGCTGACAGTATTGCTGCAGGCAGGCTCCTAAGGTCATCTGACAAGTCAGCAGCCTGGGAGAGAAGACAGAAAGCTTGTTCCGTGCTCCACAGCCAGGCCCCTGCCTTTTCTCTCCAGGGGTCCTTATGCCTGCAGTCTCTGTGGCCAGAGGAGCAACAACGTCCAATCTCCAAAACATTACAGGCAAGAACTATGCACTGTTCAAATTAAAGCCCACATCCTTGACAGTCTAAGGATTTACTCCTGATCATCTGCTGGCAGATGCTTCAATTTCCCCTCCATCCTCTTTGCTCCACAGGGACTGCTGTGTGCTGCAGCAGTCCACCTAGCACTCTCACTCGCGTGTTTATCCCGTTTGGTGTCCCACAGTATCGCAGAGAGAGTCAACTGTCTCATCAAGGACTGTGTCTAGGCAGGGTGCTGATGTGAGCTCTGTTGATGAATCACACCAAGAAAAGATAAATGATGGGGAATGCAATTGTGCATGAACATAACATCCCCATCTGGCCAGGAATTGAATTTTAATGAGGTTTTATGCTGTACTTATCATTCCATGATGTCAGTGCTTGTCCACACTACAAGCTGCCTCTTACTGTCAGCAGGGTGACAGTAAAGGCCCCTGAAATGGTGAGCTGAGAACAATGCTAGTTGAGGCCAGGAAAACTACATGCAGCACTGTTTTGGGAATTTGAGGCTAAGAATGGCTTCAGGCAGGTTTTCCTCATTGTGGCTGAAATTATCCACGTCTGGGGCACCCAGCAGCGTATTGGTGGGAATGACTTGTGGCTTCAGTACAGGTGAAGTCGAGGAGACTCCAAAACTGGAAGATTAGAAAATGAATCCTAAAAGCGGATCTCAGGCGTGCTTATTTGAGCAAATGACTCTGCGAGGAATAAGTACCCTTCCAAGCTGCTAAATTGAATTCAGATGTCAAAAGGCATATACAGGACCCAAACTGCCTGTGGCCAAAACAGGGCACCTTCATACGAACGTACCAACTAACAGACTTGTGACAGTAACTTTTCTTGGCAGTGGAAGAGACATCTAGGTAAATGCAAATACTGACTGCTTAGAGATAGTAACATCCACTATAAAAGATCCTGCCACGGGGTCCACCCCATTGACATAGCTTCACCAACCCTTCAGCAATAGAGATCCAACATTTTTCTAGGCTACAAGCCCCAAAGCGAACCACTGAATCAGAATGCTGGAAAATGGCCCAGACCTCCCCCTGTGCTGCTGGGAAGAACAGAACAAGCCTGTGCTGAGATGAGAGGTATGGAAATTTGCCTCATTGTTGCTGTAGGTATGTCACCCAACCCAACTTTATGTCACTTATCTGTCCTGCTTAAGTCTTATCCCTTTGGATGTTCTTCTATTTCTCACTATTAAATTAACCCTGTCTTGCATCACCAATAATCGCACACTCCCTCTCTAATAATTGCATGTTCTTTCTCTCTAGTGCCCCAGTAATAGGCTGACGGAATCACAAGCTGTAGTTTCACTTGCATTTTCTTTAGGAAACATTTTTTTCTTCAGGTTATTTTTAACCTGGCTCAATTCCCAAATTAGATTCACTGCCTGGCAGCATGCAAAGTTATACCAGCGCACTTGGGAGAAACAAGGGAGCATGTGCTGCAGATATGAAAGAAGGTCTAGGTGTCCAGAGGGAGGGCTTGGGCTAGCACTGCTGCCAAATTAAGTGCTTGTGGAGATCCAGCCTTGGCTTCTAATTTTTCACGTGCATTCACAAAGAGGTCTACAAAATTGTCCTAACGCACACAAGAGCCAGGAAGGCTGTTTACATCTATGAGTTGAGAACACACTGCTCATTTTGGTAATGTATGTGATTTCCTAAGATTTGTCCTCAGCCATTAGGTGTAGGTGGTCGTTATCACTCTCCAACACTTGAGATCACCGCTTTACCCTCTCCCAGAGGCAAAGGAGGAAAGCACAGCTCTAATGGCAAGGACAGTTCAAAGTGCCAAAAAAGGGTCCATGACTGAAACAGCCACCAGTATCCTCTTAGTAAATCCAGAAGAGCCAAGACTTGAGCCTGTGGTGAGTGCATCTCATCCCCTCAGCAAAAGGAAGATGGCAAACACAAGCCACTGATTCTCCAGGAACGTCACCCTGCCCTCCTGCTACCCGGCTTGCACTCTCACAGGTCTGTGAGACCTCTCAGTGGTCTGTAGATGCCTTGTGGGATGCACTTGGCAGTTTGGCCCCCATGTGCTTCTGGTCGTACACACTGTAAGGTTGGGGGAGGATTTTTTTCTGTGTGCTTTGGCACTGTGATAGAGCAACTAGCTTGACAGAAACTCAGTGATACAAGTTGCAAAGCTGTGACTGTCTCAGGAGCTAAAGGAAGCATGACTTGCAGAGAAAAGGAACAGCGTTCATTAGTAATAGGAACAAAAATGGAGAAGTTTTTCGGAACACAATCTTTTGACCATAAACCAGAAAATTCCCACTCCAGGGTAAGTGGCACTGGGATGACTTACTCTGGGTTTAATTTAATTACATCAAGACAAAAAGATGTTTAATACCTGTAGAGCAGAGATATGCTAAAAGCAGAGGTGGCAAGTCCTGTGTGTCAGAGACAGAGGTAATTCTCACCTGAGAATAGTGATGGTTTATACAGGAAGGCCAGATAGAAACAGCAAAAAGCCATAAAATCACTATCCCCACGGTTAGACTGCGAGGGCAACAAGGTTTACTGAGAGAGTTGTTTTCATTAGATCTGCTCTTACCCTGTAGTTGAAAACAGCAGCTTAGTTTCCGGGATCAGTTTCTCTTAATGAGGTTTTTATTTCCCCAACGCTTATTTACTTTTCCAGGTTACTATGCTTCTCTGTA